TAAAATTAGCTACATTATCGTCATTTTTGGGGTTTAGCTCCTCTGGAAAAATGACCGACTTCAAACATTAATCAGTCGTAGATGTACACTAAACTCTGCACTGTGGTTCAAGAGATATTTTGCTAACAATACTGACAAAAAACATCCTTGCTCCCCCTTTGTCTCGGGCGGCAGGTGATACAAAAGAGCAGTTGCTGTGATTTTATATGTAAATGTGGATGGAAGATACAGTTGTTGTGGATATGTCAGACTGTGATAGGGGATCCGGGGGGGGGGGGGGGGGGGGTCCTCTCAAAAACACAAACTTAGTCTGTCATGTGTTGCTGCTTTTTAAAACTCTCTTCCATCATATTTTTGTCATTTCCTCGCCTCACAAACACACACACACACAACCCATGTAATAAATATGGTAATTTGAAGCCAGCGAGTGTTTTGTCATGAACAGAGAGCTGAATGCAGCTGAAAGTGTCCCAGAGCTAAAAAGAGGGGAGGAAAGAAGTTTTCTGGCAGTGCGCCGTTACTGCACGTCTTCAGTAGACAAAAAAAGGAACAAGTCAACAGTTTTGTTGGGAGGAAAGTAAAATGGAGCCAAAGCACAGAGGTGAAAATGGAGAGGATGAAAGAGAAGAAACCTGAAGGGAACAGATGAAGAGAGGGAAGCCTTAAGTTGAATTTTTAATATCTCACCATATGCTCATCTCCACAAGCAAAGTCTACTTTGCTGTGAATCACCAATTCACAGGCTGTCTGTGTGTCGGAGATGAAACATCCCGCCCAAATTGTTTTAAAGACCCAACATTTCATGAAGGATCGCGCTTCACAAAGGAGCTTTTGTAAATTAACTTTATGTGCAATTTTATGCAATGTTGCAATCTGTTAGTACTTTTAACATAGTTTGGGGGTGATTCTCAGCTACTACCATGCCAAGTTTTAGCTAAATATTTGTACAATTGACTTATTTATTTTTGATTTTTGTGTCTTCACATGGATTGGCTACAAACGTTGCTGAGTTGTAGATATACATCAGGTCATTATTTCCTGAAAATCTCATTAAAATATAATTAGGGGGTAAAGAGATATTATGCTAAAAGACAAATAAAGTTAACTTCAAATAGTTAATGGTGATTTTTTTAAAATAAAGATATTTCACCAGGTGTTAAAGCTCAGAGTATATGTTGATGATCAGTCTATGCTACTGCTACATCCAGTGTTAGGTCAATATCTGTTTGATTGACCAAGTTTTAGCCACTTTTGTATTTTTAAGGTCAGCTAGATTTGATAGCCATCTTACTCGGCTGTGGCTGAGTGGTTAGAGCAGTCGTCTTCCAATGCAAGAGTTGGGGGTTCGATTCCACCAGCAGTCACATGCTGAAGTGTTCCTGGGCAAGACACTGAACCCCTCATGGCCTCCGATGTGTGTCCCATCGATGTTTGAATGTGATAAATCACTGATTAGTCTCTTTAAAATGATTTGTTAAATTAGCTTTGTATAGATCTAGTAGAGCGCTGTATGAATGGGTAAATGAGGTTGTTGTGTAAAGCGCTTTGAGGATCTTGATTAGAAAGGTGCTATACAAGTACAGTCCATTTACCATTTACATTTAAATCAGGTTGACTCCAAATATTAATCATTCGCAGAACCAACTGAATAATTTCTGCAAATGTCATCACAGTTCGTCCTGTGGTTCATGAGATGTTTTGCTAACAGACCAGTAAAAACAGAGGCGGGCGCTAAAAATAGTGAGTGACAAAAAGGAAAGAACAGAGCAGAGGACAGATGACGGAAAGCAAAATCATTGATTGGGACGAGAAGCTGGAGGAGAATGGGAAAGGGGGAGCAGGAGGTGATGTTTCTATCAGACAGAGGAGGAGACAGGAGGGTGAACACATGATGGGCAGAGCCGGGGGTAGACTGGGAGCTGGACCCCTCCCACTGTAAAGTGAATCAATAGTGTTCTCCTCTCAGCTGTGTCTGGCTCCTCATCCTCTCCTCCAGCTGGGGACTGGGTGACTGGAGGCCAAGTATAAACCTCCTCCTGTCCTCTGGCTCCGACTCTAACAGCCTGTTTTCATCACAGGGAGGTCTCAAAATAGCCTCTTTGGGAGCCTCAACATGTACGACTTGATGAGAGTCAGCCATCATCTGTGTGCACTTTCATTCTGTATTTTAGGGGTTTTCTTGACAGGATCCCTGTAACAGGATGATGGGTCGACTGTCCGGCAGCCACCAAGCTCCGTTGGCCTGGTCTGTGGGAACCGAACGGCTCAGGCACTATAATTACCATCCCAACTCATAACATCCCTGACCCTGAAGCCACCTCTCCCTCTAACCCGACCCAGTCTTCCCAGCAATGACTTGGCTACTCGAGACACATCCGTGTCCCGACTTTACGCGCTAAATGTGCCGACAAACGCACTCCCTCACCCACAGCTGGCTCTGCAGACATTGGCATCCATCACATCTTGCGAAACTTAATCACTCTGAGAGGTGGAACAGTCGCAGAGGCATGTATGTGCACGTGCACGCACTCACGCACGCACATGCATGTTGGAAGATTAGCTGGGTTAAACTTGTTCATCCACAAACTGGCATGTGACGAGGCACCTCTGACCCGAGTGTAGCAGGCTTTGGTTGTAAAACTGCTTGTGGTCTACTTTCACAACACACAACGAATCTGCAGAGAGCGGCAGAGGCAGCTCGCAATAAAAACAAAGATTGAATATACACAATAATTAGAGAATTACTGTTCCTGTAAAATTAAATAAGGCCTAGCATCACTCGAAGGAATGCATATGGCTCGCTAACTTTTGAGCAAAAATTTAGGACAAAATTAGTCTTATGTTGAGAAATGTTGGAGACATTGTGGGTACACCTTAATAATAACGTTACGCTCACGTCATACAATATTGTAATATCATGTAATCAGCCAGCGCTCAGAGTACATGTTGTAATTGACTGTCAGCTACTACCAAACTGGATTTTTAGCTCAATAACTGTCAAACTGAATGTTTTAGCCATTTTTGTGTTTACTATTAGCAGTAGCAGCCATCTTAAATTGAGCTGGCTTTAAATATTATTCTGATGTAAATGTACAGCCAATAAATACGTTGAGATTTTCACTGAAATCAGTCCAGTGTAATATTTTGCTAACAGTTGAAAAGCGTTAGCTTCAACAAACAATGCAAAAACTATTACGCCAAGATGTTGGACAACGTGTTGGAGACAAAACTGACCTGCTCCCACGCTAAAGTTCAGCTGATTAACTATAAAACTGGATGAGTATTAACCAATTTTGTGTTCGCTAAGATCAGTTGGCTGTGGCGGCCATCTTGAGTTGGACTGACTACAAAATTAATCATTCGTTTTAGATTTTTTTCAGTTTTATAGATTATTTCCTGACAGTTTCATTCAGATCCCGTCAACGATTCATGGCGTACTTTTCTAACAGACACAGTTGATGCTAATAATTAATGTCAAACTCATGTTTTGCTCAATCGGTTTGTGCTCACAGAAGAAGTTTGGGATCAGTCTCAGCTACTACCACACTAACTTTGACTCTAATATCTATAAAACTGACAGCTGAATCTGATTGAATTGATCAGCTGTAGATGTAGATCTAATGATTACTTTTTAAATCTTAACTAAAATGTGTCCAGTGATTTGTGAGATATTTTGCTGACAGTACAGACAAGCAAACACACACACATGCACTTACACAAAAATGGTCAAAAACATTTTTGCTCCTATTTGCCTTTGGTCATGGGTGATAATGATACCAATGATGCCAAAAATATAGGCGACATGTTGGACTCCCATTGTCCTAAAAGCCAATTTGGGTAATAGTGGTTGAAATGATAGTGATGACAGAAGCAAAAGAGAGAAGTGAGGAAAATATGATATTAATATAACCGTTACAATTAATATGACTTCCTAACATAAAAGTCTTGCTGTCCGCTGTGAGGATTTTAATGGATAACTGCCTCATATGATGGATAAAATATGAGCCTTGCAAAACAATGGTTGAATAATTGAACTGGAATGCTTTTTTGTTGGAAAAATGTATTTAATAGTTCAAGTCAAAGCAACACCTGATGAAGAAACCTGTGAGACTAGCCTCATTGTCTCCAGGCACACATCTCACTCCCTCACACCTAATTGCTGTTGCATGATTGATTTGTGAGCCACCGATGGTCCGTAATGCTGCCGTACAGACGGCGTTGGAGCGAGACTGCTGACTGCTGTCAAACACACGACACACACAGCACATTACAGCCGCTGAGTTACGGCGGTGGCGTGAAAGACACCCAGCTGCAGCAAAAAACAGGATGCAATCATCACATCTTTGCAGAAGTTTAAAGGAACAACAGTCTTTTGGGCTTCTTTCAGATCTGTTCAGATAGACTGGACAAGCTGGTTGTGTGGAACCCATAAAATCCATCCCCTGCTGGAGGAACCCACAGAGCCCACTCACAACGGACCCAACTCCCTGCCCAGTGTCTGCATGCACCATTAGACGGCCGTTCTGGCTGCAGCATGGGTCCAGTCAGGAGAAAATACCTCTTGAGCAGGCAGCCCAATGAAAACCAAGCCTCCCTAATCTCTCATCAGCATTGTAAACCTGATTTCAAGGGGCTGCCCTACAGCCAAAAGACTTGCAATAAAAATCTATTGTTGCATTTCACAGGAATGCAATTTATGGAATCACACAAGTAGACACCAATATGGTCTGAGACAGGAAACAAGAAGTGATACGGAAGGTTAGACATGAGAAATATTATAGTAAACGACAGACTTGACTAGGATGATCTGAGGTCAGCAGCGTACGGCACTAAATCTTTTAGGACGAGCTTTCCCGTTTTTCTGAAACAGTCATAAAACGAACAAGGCAGATTTCTGCACCGAGAAGCAGAGCTGCTTTGCACTGTCAGAAGAAGTTCAAGCTGCTGTCAACAACCACACAGTAAAAGCCGCACAGAAAAATTACAAGACATGTGCTCACCATTTCAAAACGCCCTGCAGGGAGCCGTCATCAAACACATACAGTAATAACAACAAAAGCTCGCTGTCAGTGTGGACAGATTGAAGCTCTGAGAGCGTCCGCTGTCTGCCTGCACAACATCCAACACGGCTGCAGCCCAAATAATCCACCACCGTGCGTCTGTTTCCAACCTTACTCCCTCCCTCCCTTCCCATCAGCTGCACTCTCTCTCGCTCCAGTAATTTCCTACCCGGGATGTGTGTGTGTGTGTGTGTGTGTGTGTGTGTGACTCTGTAAGGTAGCTGCTCAGTCCCCCTGTGTGAGGTGGATGGAGGGGAAGCTGGTACAGATTTAAAGATGCAGGCGACCAGAGGAATGCTTGTGGAATTTTATTCCTGGGAGTCCAGTCGTTACGGCCAAAACTTTTCACGCCTGGTGAGAGATGAAATCTTCCTGGAACAGTGAGGGGGGGAACAAAAACAGATGTGGATAAATTTGATTGTACTTTATTTAAAAAAGGAATAAGCCACAACATTTTGAGGTAATCACTGTAAAAAAAACTAATAAGTAAATAAGTTTGTATAAGTCTCTGAGATGTCTGCACCTGTCCACAGGTATTTTTGTCCCACTCCTCTTGAGCACACTCCTCCATATGTCTCAGGGTAGAAGGGTTCCTTCTACAAACTGCATGTTCCAGCTCCTTCCACAGATGTTCAACAGGATTTAGATCAGAGCTTCATAATAGTCCGGTGTTTTGTTCTTAGCTGTTCTTGGGTGCTTTTAGTTGTAGGTTTTGGATCATTATCCTGAGGGAGAACTCATGGCTTTGGACTGAGAACCAGCTTTATCTCACTGGGCAGCACATTTAGCTCCAGAATGCCTCCCAGAAGCTTTGTGCCTTAAAATGATTTAGCATTTTGTTTATGGTTTGGTGTCCTGCTCAGTTGTCTTCCATTAAGTCCATTTTGGCTCAAACTTCAACCAATAGTGCATCTGACACTAATGTATCTTGAGCTTGAAGTTCCCCTCTAATCTCTTTGGAAGTTATTTGAACTCTTTCGTTCCTGTTAGTGATATCTGTCCCTTCAACTCGCCAGCAGTTTTCCTTGCAGCCATGTCCAGGGAGGTTGGCCACAGCCCAGTGAACCTTAAACCTCTGATTAAATGTGAAACAGTAGATACCAGAACATCAGTCTGCTTAGAGACGGTCTTATACCTTTAACATGCTTTTCAATAACACCATATTTTCTGGCGTATAAGTCGCATTTATTATGAGTCACTACTGACCCGTCGTGTTTATTATGAGTTTATTTAATGGTCAAAGCAGCTTCATTTCACCTGAGTGGCACAGCGCCATCCATCCATCCATCCATCCATCCATCCATCCATCCATCCATCCATCCATCCATCTGTCTGTCCATCCATCATCCATCCATCCATCCATCCATCCATCCATCTGTCCGTCCATCCATCCATCCATCCATCCACCCATCCATCCATCTGTCCGTCTGTCCATCCATCCATCCATCCATCCGTCTGTCCACCCATCCATCCATCCATCCATCCATCCATTCATCCATCTGTCCATCCATCCATCCATCTGTCCGTCCGTCCGTCCGTCCGTCCGTCTGTCCATCCATCCATCCATCCATCCATCCATCCAGCCATCATCCATCCATCCATCCATCCATCCATCCATCCATCCATCCATCCATCCATCCATCCATCCATCCATCCATCCATCCATCGTGGCTAGAGCTGCTAGCTTTTCAGGGTTCTTCCTCCTGCACCAGTTGAGTGAAGCGAGCGCTCACTGGAAGACTCTCTGTGTCAGTTCTTAGAAATTTAACAAGATTAACACTTAAAAACAATTATTTGTTTGCTCTGATTTATAGCAAAAGTGTGTCTCAGTTTATATTTTCCTTAATAAATGCACTTTAATGGTCAAAACAGCTTAATTTCGCCTGGGTGGCACTGTGCCATCCATTCATCTCGGCCGGAGCTGCTAGCTCTCCAGCATTCCTCCGCCTGCACCAGCTGAATGAAGTGAATGCGCACAGGAGGACTCGCTGTTGCAGTTCTTAGAAATTTAAAGCGTTAGTCAAAAATTGCGTTGTGAATGTGGAAACAAAAACATAAGTCACTTCTACATATAAGTCGCAGGACTGACAAATCTGTGCAAAAAACTGCGACTTATATGCTGGAAAATATGGTGCTTTTTCTAAGCTCCTGAGGCAACTCTGTCTTTAGCTTTCTGTGCTCCATGTTTAGTGTGGTAAACACCACAATGCCAAACAGCACAGTGACTACTTTTCAGACTTTAAATAGGCAGCAGTTATCAGTATTTAGACTAATAGCAAGACACGTTCATTCATTCAACTTTTATTTAGACAAGTAAATCCCATTGAGCCTCGAAGACTCATTTACAAGAGAGACCTGATTTCAACAAAGGATGATGACAACAATGGAGAACAGCGACAACAATAGACAGTTATAAAAAGGCATACAGATTTTTGTCTTTTAATGAATAGGATGGCTAAAAAAGAAAAGTAACAAAAAAACAGCTATATTCTAAGGTGAATGTAGAAAACTAAAAACAGGAACATGTCTGCATTGGTCCCTGCCAGGAGTCCAACAGATTCTTAAAGCCACTTAGAGAGGTCAAAGGTCGAGAGCTTCAAATCTAAAAGAATGTGATGTTAATTACAGGACACACCTCAGTTTAAGTGTCTCGTTTGTAGGACAGGTTAACAAAAGGGGACAGATAACTGTGTCTGTAGACGAGAGGCATAGAAACACATCGTTTTAGCATTTTTTTGTTTTTGGTCAATTAGCAGCAGGTTTAGTTATCAAAGCACTGATAACAAATCAGTCAAGACACTTCTGCAGTTTTGGGTGTGTCTTAATAAAAAGATACACGACCTCTCTGACCTTATCGTTTTATTCTACTGAAAAGATTTTCTCAATTATTTTGCAAAATTAAACTCAATTTAAGATTAAATCTTTGTGGGATTTTTTTTTGGCAACAAGCTTTCTTGGACAAAATCATTGTGTGTGTGTGTGTGTGTGTGTGTGTGTTCAAGATTATAAGAGCAGCAATCACAGACACAATTTATCTTTGGAGACAAGTGGAGCTGATCTTATCTCCAGTGAGCCGCAGCTCCTTGATAAGATGGGATATTGCCTGAATGCTTCTTGTTATTAAGGCCAGCGCTGTTCAGATTGAGCTTTGCGAACATTAAGAGTTTCCAGAACAGATGTGTGATGACTTGGACAGAAAACGCCTAATCTTGACAAACGCACTTTAACACGTGCAATGCAATTCCACACGAGGGTGATTTAGCCTGTTGTTAAAAGAGGGACTAAATCAACCCTTGGGTACATTCAGAAGAAAAAAGAACAGCGGTAGGCTCAGCCGCATAAATGAGGCATAAACGTCAACAGAGGACATGAGTGTTGGATGATTGTTGGAAAAACATATTCACAACATGCAGCTACGAGAAGAACACCCTCCAGGAAGCAAACATATCATTATCCAAGTCTTGCATAAAGAGAAGTCTTCATGGGAGCAAAAACAAGAGGGCTCACCACAAGCTGCAAACCTCAGAAAAAAAAAAGCCAGACACATTTTTCACAAGAAAAGTAAAAATAAGAAGATAAAAGTGGAGCTGACAGATGAAACTAAGATCAACTTACAGTAACAGCAGGAAGTAACATTTACAGAGACCATGATGGTATACGCATGCATGACCTGCGTCAGGGTTACCGATGTTACTCAAACGGGATGATTCCTGAATAAAATGTCCATTTCATTCCTTGCTACACTAATTTCTGCCTTTTCATATAAAGTACAAAAGTATTCTGTATGCAGAAATGTTTTAAGTCCTACACGATGGAGACCGAAAACTGGAAAACTGGTCACCAGTTGGTATACAGCTCTATTTTACACATCTTTTATTACATTAACGTCCACGACAGAGAGAGCTCATTTATGTCGTGTTCCGTTTGTTTCAATTTCTGAGTTGTGCGTTGGAAAATCAGACATTGAACGTCCTCTGAAGTTGGAAAGTGATAGTCAGGAAAGAGGTTCCTGATGAAGAACCAACCTTAGAGTCCAATATGGCTGCCAAACGCATAACAGTTGAAGTAGTATTTAATTTTTGTCCATTTTGTTCTGTCATTTTGGATACCATAATTCAGTTGCATACATATTACTGAACTATTATTATTATTAGATATGTTTCTACAGTTTTGGAACATATAGAAAGCAGAAAAGTACAGTTAGCTTCTATCACTATTGAGTCAGCCTGGCAAGTGAACACAACACTGAGTAAATCCTGCTGGTTTTCTGAAAGGTTTGTTGATGAAGTTGAATATTGCATCGTTTCCAAATCTTAGTTCCAACTTTGAGGTACAGAAACAAAACTTTAGCTTGACTTAGTGCACAGAGCACTTGATATCCGAAGGCTCAAGTTCGAGACATCTGATTTGTATTGGCCTGTGATGGACTTGCAACATGTCCAGGGTGTCCCCCACTTCTCGCACAGTGATAGCAGGAAATGGACACAAGTGACCCCCGCGACCCAAAAAGGAAGAATCTGGTAAACATAATGGATGTATGTATGGATGGATTGATTTGTATTAGCAGTCGTTTTAGCTTTTAATAATTTTGGCTAAATGCAGACCTATATTTGACATCAAAAACAAGATTTAGACATTTTAAAACATTAAGTGCCTGCTAAATTAACTTCAGTTTTGCGAAACAAAAGATGCTCTTGCGGGTTAACATTAATGCTCCAGACTGTTGCTGGTGTTTAAGTTGCATAGTGAGCCTTAAATGACAATTTTCATGAACATTGTGTCTTGTGGTGTAATTTTTTCTTTTACTTTGCTCTGTTGGATTAACAACAGGAACACAATTGTTGGATAAAATATCCTCTATTCATCCATCCATCCATCCATCCATCCATTATCTTTACCCGTTTATTCCATTTTGGGTCACGGGGGTCGCTGGTGCCCATGTCCAGCAATCACTGTGCGAGGGGCGGGGTACACCCTGGACAGGTCGCAAGTCCATCACAGGGACACATAGAGACAAACGAGACAAACAACCATTCACTCTCTCACTCACACCTAGGGA